ATGCGACGCAGCCGCGCGTAGGTCGCATTGGCGCATCTCTACACTCACGATAACTGTGACGGGGGAGGTGAGGAGGGGAGGGGGCGTCGAGACACTTTGAAGGGGGTAAAATTTTTGAAATCAGCCCAACGTGACCTTTGGCCCTGAGGGCAGATGTTGACGATATCAGATGTCAAAATAGGGCTTGGATAGGAACTCGTGAAGGGGGGGGGGAGAAAAAACTTACCGGCGGCGCGACGCGAGCGCGTGTTGGTGACGTCAAAATGACGTCGTAGCCACAGCAGCCCGAGATCAAGTAAAACTGAGTTTTTGGTACAGGCTTGTTCAACCAGTTGCGCATTTTGCTATAGGCACCATCCTTGAACTAGAAATTGAAATTTCGGGAAATGTAGAGGAAGTCGAGGTTTTCACATGCAAACGCTGAAGAGTCGAGTTGAGCTTGATTGAACCAAGTCGGTTCTTCGAGTTCGATTATAACTTCTACTTATTATACAATTAATCAAGAGCACGAGAGATGCTCGAAGTACATAAAGTATTCAAATATTGGTGGCAGAGCTAGCTTGCTCGCTCCCTTGCCACCGTTGTGACGTCACCAACACGCGAACGCGTCCGCGGCGCCGGTGAGTTTTTCCATGGAGCCACTCGTGAACAACAGTGGTGTGCAGCTTCAGCCAACTGAAGTCATCGCTGCTTTTCATGTATAGATGCGAATTTATAAAAGCCGTATTGAAGCTTCAAACCTTTCACCACTCTCTAATATGATACCCTTCCTACTAGCCCTCTAAGAAATTCGAAAAGGGCGCTATCGCAAGGTACAGGGACACCCCCTAGAACTAGGTCTAGAAGGGTACAGGAATTGCGGTGAGAATGAAAATCGCTCGCTCACCCTGGGTTCTCCTCTCCCCGCCTAAGGCGTAATCCCGTTTTCACAGAAAGGAGATGTTTTACGTGGTTTTGAAACCATAATGCCCCCTTATCTTGCGATAGCTGATCTAGTAAAGCGTGAGCATTTTTTTCTTTCTATTTCTTTACTCAACCAGATATAAGTGTGCACATCTCACATAAGTGGCCATGGTGACCTTGTTGGACATAAGTATGCCCCTGTACCTTCAGATACGGTACTCCTGACGCCTACACTCTTCCATTCTGGAGTAGTGATGCTCATAAAAGGCGAGCTGCCACAGAAAAGAGCGATATCGAAAGCTGGTTCTACACAATCGCTGACCTGTGAGTTGCTTGATCCAAGGGTATCAGACACGGGTTCATTACAGTGACAATGTACTACATATTCAGCTTTATACCAAGCATCGTGACATGGAAAGGAGAACTCAACGAGCCTGAAGTCGTAAAGTCGAAAGAAAATTTCTGGACAGGTGACAACTTCATACTTTCGTCTTCCATTGCATAACCGTCAAGGCATCGCTTCGAGGAAACGATGTGGTTCACGCGTGAGCTGAGCTGGGTATCGAATCGCCTAACCCGGGGAAGGAGTGAGGGGTGGGGTGTTGGAGAAGGGTCCTTGTGCTGCTTGAGCCAGGGAGTGGCCGTTCTTCCGCTTGATCTCGGTACCTAGCTCTAATCTGGACCACCCAACAATCAAACTCCGGAGCTTTGTCAGACGATATGGAAGCAAATGGAACTGGCTTGCATTAGCCAACACGGCGCAATGTGGCTCGGGGGGGGGGGGCAGTCGCCGCGCGCGATCTCTGCTCGTCCGCGCCCTGTAGTACTAAGCCTAGGAGTGGGCAGGAACTTTGGGAAGATGAAAATTGCTATGATCCTGGAGTTCCTCCTCCCCTGCCCGAGGCTTAGTCCCGATTTAGCGAAGAGGAAATGCTTACACAGAAAAACGCAGAGATCGCGCGCGGCGACTGCCCCCCCCCCCGAGCCACATTGCGCCGCCAACAATCTTTTCCTTGGTTAATAATGTCGTAATTGCAGACATTACATACATAGGCATCAACCAAATGAACATTGGTGAATGGATAGTTTCTTTTGGGAACACGGTGACGTGCGCACAGGGTCCGCAATTACGACATGTGCGGTGGCGGGAACGAGTCGCATTGCCGGAGATGATTTCCACCACTGTTGTTCATCTGCGCAAGTTCGCTGAAAATACCGATCACCCATATTTTTCGCATATCTCATAGCAATTCGGAACTAGTTGAAGACATCTTACAGACTTCCAACCACACATGGCGCAAAGCCCTCCGGCTCTACTGGCTATAGCAGAAACGTTCCATGCGGCTGATGAAAAGGTGGACGTTGCAAGGCTTAAAAAATTCGTCCGAACAGGATTGGAAGCAGTCTCGCACCATATGCAACAAAAGTAAGTCAGCATTCTGAGAAAAAACTGAAGAACATATATAACGCAGTATGAAAACAGTTAGAAGCGCGATCTTTACCCTCTTCTCTTTGAAATTATAACTCTATGACTGACCCTTTACCTCTTTCGCCGTAGAACTACAGCAATCGGCTTGAGCACGGTGTATTGTCACCCATTTGCTCTTCTCTCTCTTGCGTTAGTCCGCGCAGTCGCACAAGTTCCGCTGTCTTTGTCTTGCCGTCACCAGTTACTTCGATCCAGGCATCTTCTCTACGACGTGAATCAATACATCACTGGGATTAAAGCTCTCCACCTCTCGTGTCCCCGCGGTCGCTTGCCTGGCACTTCGAAGTCCATTGCTTTCCTTATTGGGTGGTCCTGTGGCCTCCTTAGCACGTGCCCATACCATCGCAGACGCTGTTCCCGTACTTCAGCTGGACAGGGGCAGTCTGCATGACCGCTCTGACATCCTCGTTCCTGACCCTTCCAGTCGCGTCCAGCCGCAGGCCCACCTCAGCATCCTCATCTCAGCGGAGTGAAGCTGCCTTTCGTGATTCTTCAGGGCCAGCACTCGCTGCCGTATAGCATCGCAGGCCTTACCACTGTTCGGTACACCTTCCCTTTGAGCGTTCTGGAGCACCTTCGATCGCAGAGGATTCCAGTGGACTCCCTCCATTTCATCCATGCCGCGTTGATTCGTGCCTTTACTGCCTGATCCACACTTCCGTCGGCAGCTAGATCGCTCTGCAAGGTATCGAAGATCCTCCACCCTTTCGATGCAATCCCACTCCACTCCACAATCAGCTCTGTCCTCTCAGACCTGACATTCAGCGAAGCCCACCTTCTGCCAGGACCTTCTGCCACTTCTGCACCTTGGCCTGTAGTTCTTCTCTGCTATCCGCTATCAGGGCGATGTCGTCAGCGTAGAGGATGGTCTTCAGTGGTCCTTCCATGAGCCCTTCACCATGGTATCGAGCGTTAGGAGGAACAGGAAGGGGCTCAGAGGTGATCCCTTGGTGCACCCCAACCGTGATGCCCGAAAAAAGAACTATATCGCCTTGACAATGTATATCGCCGCCAGTCTGATGGCAGAACCAAAAAGCCAATTTCTTGCTTCACACAAGCAAATCTTGTAACAGGTTCCTACACTCAGTTTTTGTGGAAGACATGATGTCAAGAGCTATAGTTTCCATTTCCAAAGACAAAAGTACATTGTACCGGATGTGGGCCAGAAGTATCGCTTTCACTGGAACTACTGGTGGCCATCATTCTATCGAGACAGCGCCGACAACAGGAGAAAGTTGAGCGCTTTCAAACGACGTGAGCTCGAGCTCTCGAATTTTAGAGCGCCCTGAACTTTTATACGAGATAGCCCAGGAATGAGTTAGACGTAGACATCAGCGCGATCGCAGTGGGCGTGGCCTATCACCGTGAGCACGATGGAGGTGCGAAAAATAAGCTCAGAGCTCTTGCCATGAGCTTTCTAAATGCGTAACTGCCACTACCTTTGCGATTGTGGATTCGACTAACTTATTCAAGGCACTGCTTCGCTACTCATCCTACTTCTTTTGGATGCTAGACTGTCCGAGGACACTTCATTGTCTCATTTGAGCGACCTTATCGATTTCGTACTGTTGATGTCTCTATAAATTCTCTAGTGGAAGCTAACAAAACCGCTTTTCGTTCTGATTTCTTGGGTGTTTCAGATATGCCCCGGAATGGATCAGAACTTCGAACACGGCTACCGCGGTTGCAAGTCATGCCAAGGCTAGAAGCGCACCGAAAGAAGCTGCAGCTACCTAAACCTAAACTAGTTCAACTAATATTATCATCATGTCAGACGTGTTTCAAATACAAGGAATTTGCACGTACTAACTAAAAAGCATAGGATTGATATGGTTGTGCGCGGCGTCTCACAACAATGTAAGAACACCTACAGACACCGATAATTATTCAAAATCCTTTTTCACAAGAATGCTAGGTTGTGAACAAAATTTGCGCCCCAGGCGGGACTTTGCACCTCTTGCTTAGCGGACAGGGAGACACAAGTCGGTTCTTAACAGTCCTATGAGTGACCGCTACCGTAATCCACGTTGGCACTGGAGCGCGCAGCTACACTACTGCTGTGTACCCACACGTTTCAGCACCAA